TCCCCTCGCCCCGCGTCCGTCCCGCACCTCTCAACAAACGGACAACGCGGGAGTCCAGGTAGCGGAGGGTTTTCCTTTTAATTCGTAAGAAGCGAATGAGAAATGCTGCCTTCTTTGCAAAAAGCGCATCTTGGGCCCGGAGGACCAGGGGGCGGGCGAAGCGGCGAGCTCGGATCCTCCTCGCCGCCAGCTTCCCCGTGGCCCCGCCTCGGGCTCCTCGCCCGCTCTCCTCGCCCGGCTCCTCCCGTGGCACTTCGCTCTCCGTGAACCACACAGCCTCGGGTTGGCCGGAGAGGTCGTGCCTCGTCTCACGCCTTTCTCTCCCTGCCTACCCGGCGAGGGCGGCCCGTGCTCCGCCGCCCCACCACGCCCCCTGGATGGAGCGGCTTCCCCGCCGCTAAGGACCGTCCGCGAAGCGCCCCTGTGGGGCAGAGGCGCGCGACGCTGGGCTTACAAGAGCTGGAAGTCAGGCAGAGGGGACCCAGGTTTGGAGGCAAGTTCCCCGCCAGGACCCGACTAGAGGAAAGTTCCCCTGTCGGCCCTCCACCCCGCAGACTCCCGCTGCCCTCCCAAGCCAGCGTCCAGGGTGGACACCCCCTGGTGGCTACTTTTAGCAACTGCGTTCCTAGAGGCCCTGAGGCTGGGCATCTGAACGGAGGCAGGAGTTTCCAAGTCTGAGGCTTTTTTCTGACCTTGCTCTGAGTCTTCAGGGTGGTGCAGAGCCACCAGCAGCTGGTATGTGGCTGTGCCAAGGGTAGCCCCCACCAAAGGGGCCACCACAGGCACCCACCACCAGCCATTGCCAGCACTGCAAGAGAAGGACAAAAGAGACGCATCAGGAATGGTTCCCTTAGTCTCCCCTCTCCTCAAGGACTGAGCCAGTAACCAAGGGAGCTCCCTAAAGTAGTTCCTGGAGTGAAAGACACCAGGAAGAGAGAGGAGAGACCACCAGAAGAACTTAGTCCAGCCTCTAGCCTTAGGGAATTATCTGAATATACCCATTTGCTGATGAGGTAGGTCACTAATGCCCAAAGAAATAATATGTCGTTCCCCAGAATACAACCTCTAAACCGTAACTGTTTCAGTGAAAGGACAGGGCAGAGTGAGGAACGCTGTCCTAAGAGGGCAAGAGAATTATTTAAGAGGAGAAAGCTAGGGACCCGGGGACAGAGCCATTAGCAGAGAGAGGTGAGTTAAGGACCGCATCCAGGGAAGATGTCTCCCACCTGAAGACTTCAGGGCCCCAGCCAGCCACGTAGGTGAAGAGCCGTGGACCCAGATCTCTGGCAGGGTTGAGTGGGAACCCACAGTTGACACCCATGGATAGTCCAATGACTAGGATCAGCAGCCCCACCACCACGGGCTCCAGACCCACAGGAACTCCCTTGTTGCGTCCGTCCAGGATGGCCAAGAGCCCCACAATCAGGATCCCAGTGCCCAAAACCTTCAGACAGAGGGGTCCTGGTCATCAGTTGCCAGGTGCTCCATTTGCCCTCACCCAAACACTCTGAACTATGACCCCCATGTCACCTGGCTTTGTTCAACACAAGCAGCTAGGGGCTGGTGGGGTACCAAAGTAGAACTAGCTCCATATTCCACCCAGAACAATTGGCTGGGGTCCCAAGTGAAGGGAAAAGGTTAAACTTTTCCAGTTCTGCTCCTCTCACCTACCTGATCCAGGAAGCCATTGTTCAGGGACAAATAAGGGGCAGGATAGGTGGCAAAGATGGAGGCAGTCTCCTTGGGGCCAGTCACTGTCAGGTTCCCCCCTGTATAGTTCTGTAGAGCATCTTTGGGAGAGAGGAAAACCCAGGGTTGCCATCTTTACTTACTGCAAACTGCCCTGAGGCACCCCTCCCTCATACAGGTGCTCCAACTGCCCCTCTGTTACCATAGTAGAGAACATAGGTGGCTCCAGAGGCACAGAAGGCAGACAGCAGCTGCACGAAGCAGTAGATGGGGAGCATGGACCAGGGGAAGCGTCCCAGGAGGCACATGGCTAGGGAGAAGGCTGGGTTCAGGTGAGCTCCTTCAGGGACAGAGGAAGAAAATGAGCATCCAAACACTGTTACCAGCAACACGGCCACTCCTTCCTACAACTCTTAGGATAAATTGTATCATTTTCATCATATATGGGTGTGTGTGTGTGTATATATTTGTTTGTTTATTTTTGGTATCAGAGATTGAACTCAGGGGCACTCTACCACTGAGCCACTTCCCCAACCCCATTTTTTGTATTTTATTTAGAGATGGGGTCTCATTGCTTAGCGCCTCACTTTTGCTGAGGCTGGCTTTGAACTCATGATCTTCATGCTTCATCATATATCTTAAGGAATTAAGGCTCAAAGAGTTTAAGTGACTCCTCAAGGTCACACAATGAAGCCAAGATTTGAACCTGCATCTGTCTGCCCTTTCCACTTCAGCACACTGATGCAAGGTGTATCTGAGGGACAAGCAGCAAGGTCCTGAGTGGAGTTGACACCAGAGAGCTTCAGGTGTGAGGCGTCAGAGGACAGTACTTACCGTCATTGCCCTGGCATAGATTTCTGCTAAGGTAAGCCAACTGATCCATTAGTGTGAGGAAGGGGAATGGAGAGAGATAGGAAGGGGAGGGACTGGGTAAGGCTGAAGACGTATCTCAGTCTAGGGCACTGGTCAAGCTTACGGAGATAATATTCATGAGTCACCAAAGGACCTACCTTTTTACCATTGCAGACACCCACTGCCACATACACGTCCCACCCCTTCCGATGACCAGACCCCACCCTGCTCACCTGAGACATTGCCCGCCACGTAGATGGCTATTGTAACTGCCAGAGAACCAGCCAGAAACATGGTGAAGAAGTTCCCTTTGGTTTCTCCACTGGTGACAGCCTGGGCCACAGCCCCCTGAGTGAGGAGCTGGCAGGGAGAGGAAAGGTGAGGAAAAGGAAGTCCAGGAGACCAACAGGAGAGAGATTGGGAGCAACCAAGGGACCAGCAAGGAAAGGAGAAAAGCAGAAACAGGAAAGAGATAAAGAAATGGGAGAAGTGGAGGAGAAGGAAAAGGGGAGGGAAGGTGAGAGATGATAAAGGACAGGCATCTAATAGAAGAAGCAAGCTGAGTGTCCTTGAGCGTGCCTATAGTTCTGATGACTTGGGAGGTTGAGGCAAGAGGATTGCAAGTTTGAAGCCAGCCTCAGCAACTTAGTGAGCCCTCAGAAAGTTATCAGAAACTCTGTAGGTAAGCAGTTAAGTGCCCTGGTTCAATCCCCAGTATAAAACAAACAAAAATTTAAAAATAAGGAGAAGGAGAAGAAGGAAGAGGAGAAACAAGAGGGAAAGAGAAAAGATGGAGAGTTGAAAGGAAGTATAGGAAGAGCCAGAAACATTGGTCTACCTCCCTCCTTTCTTCCCCGCAGTTACTGCCTACCATGAGCACAAATACACCCAGAAACTCTGCCAAGCACTGTCGGGCCAGGAGGCTGTGGATCCGAAAGTAGCCCCTCATTTTGGCCAGCAGCTGATCCGGGGCCATGGTGGTGTCTTGCTATCTCTGTCCACTGCTATTCTGTGTGCATAGGTACACAGCTCCTGCATGCCAGGGGAAAAGATAAGGAACAGACTTTAAAACCAATTATCTTGGGGCTGGAGTGGTGGCTCAGTAGAGTGCACGCCTAGTATGCATGAGGCACTGGGTTCGATCCTTGGCACCACATAAAAACAAACTAATGTATCCACCTAAAACTAAAGATACATTAAATAAATAAATATTTTAAAAATAAATAAATAAAACCAATTATCTTGGCAGTTACTATCTACACAGATGTGTAGAATAGAGCTCTCAGCTTTCTGTGCATATGTGGAAGCTGGAACGTGAGAGGCCTGTCTGTGAGCAGGCTGTGTGCACCTCTGCCTGGAGTTTGCCCAGGCTCTCTCTCTCTCTCCTGTCCTTTATCCCTGTTTCTCATAGAACTAGCCTGAATTGCAAAAAGTACCCTGCTTCAGATACATTAATACTCTTGATCCTAAAGACAGCTATGTACTATTGATCCCATTGACATATGAGTATACTGAGCCCTATAATTCCCCAGAATCACACAGTTAGTTAGTGATTGAGGGAATTCAAACTGGGTTTTCTAATTCTCCATCTGGTATTCTACAATGCCTCTCACCTGGAACATGAAGCCTTTCCTCAAACCATTTGGATATTTGAAGAACTCAAGGAGCATCCAGAGAGACTGGGCAGAAGACTACGGACTGTGAAAATGGATCCCACATGTTGAATGCTTGTACTTTCTTCATGCAGGTCTCCTGATTAGGGGATCTATCTTTCTTTCCTTCCTTTCCTTTCTTTCTTTCCTCCTTCCTTCCTTCTTTCCTTCCTTCCTTTCCTTCCTTTCCTTCCTTTCTTTACCAGAGATTAAACCCAGGGGCACTTAACCACTGAGCCAAATTCCCAACACTTTTTTGGGGGGTGGTGGTGGTGGATACCACTGAGCCACATTCCCAGAAAGAGCCCTATTTTGTATTTTATTTAGGAATAGAGTCTCACTGAGTTGATTAGGGCCTCACTGAGTTGCTGAGGCTGACTTTGAATGTGTCCTCCTGCCTCAGCCTCCTGAGCTTCTGGGATTACAGGCAGCGTGTGCCACCGCACCCTGCTTGATTAGCGAATCTTTATCTGTGTGTCTTCTGCCACAGCTTAAGATGAGGAGTTCACACCCATGCTCAGCTCGCCCTGCTCTTCTCCAGAGACATGCCACTCTTAACTCTGCATAACATGAAGCCAGATCCTTTTTCTTCATACCTCAAGACTCCTATTAGATTCGCTCCACAGTTAATCAACTTCAGTCCCTAGGAAAAAAATGGTGAAGAAAACATAGTTTCTACCCTCCTAGAGCTGATGTTCCAGAAGGTAGAAACAGATAATCTACAAATGTGTAAAATATTGTGTATAGTTTGTGAAGTGTTTGAGGCCTGGGACCTTGATTTATGAAAACACTCGGGATCTGGCCCACTCTTGGGCACATCCATGTGCAATAATACTTCTCTGCTAGGTTTAGCAAATACTATAGTGCTCCATCCAGATCTCTTTCAGAGTCAACATACCCATTCCTTAGGTTCACCCCTTGGTTCACTCCTCCTTAGGAACAGTGATCCCCTGCTCCTGGAAAGATACCCTATTGATGCTGAACTTAGCATGGACCCCCAATCAGCAGTGTGCCCTACAGTTCAGATTCCTGGCCTCAAGCCATCCTCCTACCTCAGCCTTCCAAGTAGTTTGAACTGTATGTGTATGCTACCACACTCATTGGCTTCTGATACCACAAATGCAATGCCCTATGAGTTAGGAAAACGAGTCACCTAAGGTGAGCTCTTCTATGGGACCCATGTACAATAATTGGTTAATGCAGGGATACAAGGCCTGGTCTCTTTGCCTCAATCTGGGAAGAATCTGAAGGGCCATTCCAACTCCAGAGTTCCCCCATAGGATCAGCTAAAACTTTCGTTATATATTTTAGTCAGTTTTTTCATTGCTGCAACCAGGAAACCTGACAAGAACAATTTTAGAGGTAGAAAAGCTTATTTTCAAGGCTGCAGTTTCAGAGTTCTTAGTCCATTAATGGCCAACTCCATTGTTGTGGGCCCAAGGTGTGGCAGAACATCATGGTGGAAGAGTGTGGCAGAGGAAAGTGGCTCAAGACATGGAAGCAGAGAGAGACAGAGACAAAGAGCTATCTCTCCTCACCATAACAAAATATAAACCCCAAACACACTCCTCTGGGACCCACCTCTTCCAGCCACACCTTGCCTGCCTACAGTTACGATCCAGTTAATTCCCATCAGGGGATTCATGTACTGATTAGGTTAAAACTCCCATAACCCAATCATTTCACCTCTAAACTTTCTTGCATTGTCTCACACATGAGCTTTTTGGGGACACCTCATATCTAAACCATAATAGTTATATCTTCAGGTGTGTCAGTTTTTCCCTATGCCCAATCCTGCTTTCCTTACTTCCTTACTTATATACCTCTCAAGAGTGTTAACACTCCTCAATAAATTTTTTAAATTTCTTTGTAGTTCTAGATAAACAGTATGTCTTTATTTATTTTTATGTGGTGCTGAGGATCAAACACTCTGCCACTGAGCTACAGTCCCAGCCCCAATAAGTCTTAGCTTTGTATCTCTTCATCTTAAGTCTTTTTCCACAGAATGCAATTTAGAATGGTTGATGTCATGAAGAATTCTAGTGACAATGGAAAAGATCTCCTGTGGTTTGGGATAGGCAGAATTAATATTGTCAAAATGGCCATACTACCAAAAGTGCTATACAAAATGATTCCAATTAAAATCCCAACATTATTTCTTATAGAAATAGAAAAGGCAATCGTGAAATTCATTTGGAAATATAAGAGGCTCAGAATAGACAAAGCAACCCTTAGCAAGAAAAGTGAAGCAGGAGGAATCACGATACCGGACCTTAAACTATATTACAGAGCAATAGTAACAAAAATTGCATGTTACTGGTATTAAAATAGACATGTAGACCAATGATATAGAATAGAAGACACAGAAACCCACATAAATATGGTTATCTCATACTAGACAAAAGAGCCAAAAACATACATTAGAACAGATAGCCTGTTCAACAAATGGTGCTGGGAAAAATGGAAATTAATATGTAGCAGAATGAAATTGAACATCTATCTCTCACCCTGCACAAAAATCAATTCAAAGTATATCAAAGACTTAGACATTAAAACAGAGACCCTGTGCCTAATAGAAGAAAAATAGGCCCAAATCTTCATCATGTTGGCTTAGGCCCTGACTTCCTTAACAAGACTCCTAAAGTGCAAGAAGTAAAATCAAGAATCAATAAATGAAATGGATTCAAACTACAAAGCTTCTTCTCAGCAAAGGAAACAATCAATGACGTGATGAGAAAGCCTACAGAATGGGAAAAAAATCTTTACCACGTACACAGCTCAGATAAAGCATGAATCTTCAGCATATATAAAGAACTCAAAAAACTTAACACCAAAAAAAAAAAAAAAACAAATAACCCAATTAATAAATGGGCTAAGAAACTGAACACTTTACAGAAGAAGAAATACAATCAATCAATAAACGTATGAAAAAGTGTTCATCATTTCTAGTAATTAGAGAAATGCAAATCAAAATTACTCTAAGATTTCATCTCACTCCTGTCAGAATGGCAATTATCAAGAATACAAGCAATAGTAAGTGTTGGCGAGAATGTGGAGAAAAACATACACTCATACATTGTTGGTGGAACTGCAAATTGATGCAACCACTATAGAAAGCAGGATGGAGATTCCTCAGAAAACTTGGGATGACCCTGCTATCCTACTCCTCGGTTTATACCCAAAGGACTTGAAATCCACATACTACAGTGACACAGCCACATCAATGTTTACAGCAACACAATTCACGATAAACTATGGAACCAATCTAGATGCCCTTCAACAGAGGAATGGATACAGGAAATATGGTATATATACACATGGACTATTACTCAGCTTTAAAGAATGAAATTATGGCATTTGCTGGTAAATGGATAGAACTAGAGAATATGATGCTAAGTGAAATAAGCCAATCCCACCCTCAAAATCAAAAGCTGAATGTTTTCTCTGATAAGCGGATGCTGATCCAGACTAGGACAGCAAGATAGGGAATAATGAAGGAACTTTGGTTTGTGTAGAGGGAAGTTAGCGGAGGGGTGGGGTTATGGGGATGGGAAGAACAGTAAAAGAGACATTATTACCCTATATACATGTGTGATGACACTAGTGGAGTGATTCTGAACCATTATAGCCAGGGGAATGAGAAGTTGTACTCCATTTGTGTACTATATGTCAAAATGCATTCTACTGTAAAAGGAATTCAAGGCTGGTTCAACATATGGAAATCAATAAATATAATTCACCACATCAATAGACTTAAAGATAAGAAACATGTGATTATATCAATTGATGCAGAGAAGGCATTTGACAAAATACAGCACCCTTCCATGTTCAAAACACTAGGGATAATAGGAACATACCTCAACATTGTAAAAGCTCTCTATGCTAAACCCAAGGAAAATATCATTCTAAATGGCAAAAAAATTGAAAGTATTCCCTCTAAACACCAGAACAAGACAGGGATGCCCTTTTTTTCACCACTTCTATTCAACATAATCCTTGAAAGTCTAGCCAGAGCAATTAGAGGAAAGAAATTAAAGGGATACACATAGGAAAATAAGAACTCAAACTATCATTATTTGCTGATGACATGATTCTATACTTAGAGGATCCAAAAAGCCTCGACCAGAAAACTTCTAGAATTAATTAATGAATTCAGCAAAGTAGCAGGATATAAAATCAATATCCATAAATCAAATGCATTTCTATACATCAGTGATGAATCCTCTGAAAGAGAAATTAGGAAAACTAACCCATTCACAATAGACTGAAAAAATAAAATGAAATAATTGGGAATCAACTTAAAGAGGTGAAAGATCTCTACAATGAAAACTGCAGAGCACTAA